CCCCAAAACCCCAAAACCCCAAAACCCCAAAACCCCAGCTTGATTATAAATAGCTGAATAACCAAGATGGATAATACCGTACTCCACCCCAATTCCCTGTCCAAGCCAACCGAAGGCCTCCAAATCAGAACAAGAAGGAGGCAACCAGGTTCAAGGTAAGTTCCAAGCCCTAGTTCAATCCTGATTTGGCTTATAGTAAGGAAGCAAAGCCTAGTGAGCCTAACCCGATCAGGCAGGAGAAGAAGCTCAGTAAGGAAATGAGTGCTTATTTTGGATGATTTAGTGTTGGTTATTTATCGTCAATTTTTGTATCTCTGTTTTATTTAATTCATATGTTCTCAAAATTTCACAGCATTTGAATGCAGTTGTTTTATAAAATGACTCTTTAGGTTGGATGGAAGCTTACAGGCTCCTTTCTCATATAACAAACAGATGAAAGATCACGATGGCACAGAACAATAGATTTGCAAGGAAATCTTCTCAAAGACCAAGAAGAGTCACAAGCCCTGAGAAAAACTTCAGATGTAAGCTAATTATGTGGTATGATAACAATTGTGTGAATTTAGGATTATTAAAAATTGATATTATATATGTAATCCTCTTTTTAAACTGAGCTAGAAATTACCACTAATTGTTGAGCCATGGGTTAGCTCAGGCTAAAGCAAAGGTGGTAGTTAATGGTTTTGGAGAGACTATTAATAATAATCATCAAGTTATTTGAAATTTTTGTGTTTTATAATGTTTTATGGATTTTAAGAAAAAAATCTGATTTTAAGATTTTTTATTTACATTCATTATCAAGCTAAACATCATCATACTACTCATTTCGAGTGTAGATTTTGACAAGAGAAGAAATACAAGATCTCCAAACCAAATACAACGCTTTCCTCTCTTAAAATCCCCAAAAACCTCTCTTCATAACCACAAAATGTCAAGACCAGCTGAAAGTGTCATAAACCCCAATGACTCTCGACTCAAAATATTCAAGCTCTATACAACTCTAAACTGGCACAACCCCAGAATCAGCAAGAGATCTGACGTTTATAAATAACTTTCTACAAAATAGCTATCCCCTCCACCCTAAGATCCTACCTCTACTCCTAAATTTCCTTTTCTTCCTCTAAACTCCCCACATGCTTATCCAGCTGCCTCACAGCACTGGGCAACTTCCTTCAAAAATTTATTAAAAATGTTAAAAATCTAAATTTCAAACAAATTTTTCAAAAATGTTCGTTTTTATTAAAATTTGACTCGCTCAATTTAGATAACTGAGGTGGGGTTTTGGGGTTTTGGGGTTTTGGGGTTTTGGGG